TTCTTGGGTAGTTTGAACATAGATTTGCATGCATGATAGGATAAACAACTAGTTAGGAAGGATCACTTACCAAATTGGAGCTTGAAAGTGAAGATTCTTGAGAGAGTTCGATTTCTAGAGAGAGAGTAGAGAGAGAAAGTTCAAGTGTGGGAAAAGCTCAAGTGGTGGTCACTCCACCCTTTTGTATGACTAGAGTTAGTGACCCGGTGGGAATACACCCAATACGGACATTAAACGGAGCTTAATATTTTACCCGGGTAAATGACCATTACCCGTATTAGTCGTAGTCTAGAAATTTTTAAAAGATTATTTAGAGTGTTTTCACTCAAATAAATATTTCGTTTCAACACATAGGAAATAATAACAATAATTCTAAATGAATTATTTAATTTGAAAGTTAACGAAAAAACCCAAAATAAAATAAATTTTATTAACGACATGGGTTATGTTAACGGAATATCTTTCGGGTTGTCACACTTAATCACTAAAGCTCTTAATAACTTGCATGAGGGAAACCAAGAGGCCAAGATCACATTTTTATGACTCAAGACATGGTAAAACGTCCAAAAGGACAACCCATATGTTCTATAGCATGCCATGCACAAGAAAGTCTTAGTTTGGGGACAAAAGCTCATAGTATTATCATATAACAAGATCTATCAAGTTAACACCAAGGTATGAACTTTATACCTTCTGGAGATGGAGAATAATGCAAGACTTCCAAATCCAAGCTTGTTTCTAGCTTCCAAGCTTCACCACCACCTTCTTCTTCCTTTAAAATACACCAAAACACACTCTCAAGCTTCCAAATGCAACAATGGGGCTAGGGTTTGCAAGGGGGAACGTTTCTAGTGATGGAGGCTGGAAATGGGATGAGGGAATAGGAATTAAGGTTCAATATATATGGTCCAAACCCTAAAGATTAGGTTTTATGTGTAGACAGAGTATGCCCAACGTACTCAGCGTACGCCCAACGTACTCTCCAAAACGTCACTGTTTCGCTTAATGCCCCTTTACGCCCAGTGTACCATCCAGGTACGCCCAACGTAAGGGCCAAAGTTGCAAAGATTACAATTTAAAGGGTAGAAAGGGAAACTTACCAGGACTCGAGTGTAATAATGCATGCCAAAACCATAGGTCCTGTGAAACAATCGCCTCCAATATAACAGTCGACACCCCATGATCACCTCGCGTGAATTGACCATGCCACACGTTGGGACAATTTGCCCACTCCAATTGTGTACAATCAATGCTACCAAGCATCCCTAGAAAACAATGTTTAGCTTGATGCGCGACATACAACTGTTCGACATCACTTTTAGTCGGATGTCGCAAGTATATGTAACGGTAAAGCTCTATAACACACTCACAAAAAGATATGTACAATCTCGATCCGTTCTCTCAGACATTTTCAAATACTCATCTGATGCGTCTGCGACTATGTCATATCTCAATTGTCTAAAAGCGGTCGTACATTTTTGTATTGTAGTAAAATCGCGTTTACCTCTAGCATCCCATCTTAATTGGAAAAACTCATAATTACGTTCCAAATCTCTAGCTATACGTAAGAATAAATTTTTACTAATACGAAAACGTTCTTCAAATTTTGATAGATCATATAAACTATCAGGGGCAAAATAATCACGTACCAAAAGTTCATTTGCCGCTTCTCGATCCCGCTTGATCCATTTTCTACGTTTTTTCTCGCCGTGTGAATTTTCGCCTCTCTCACGTACCATGTCTTGTGTCGCAGACAACAGTGTGTGCAAAACCAACTCGTCATCAGAATCATCATCGAATGAAGAAGAAATTGAACCGAAAAAATTATCCTTTTTTTAAGTGTGTGATTGTTTTGGAAGAGTGTGTTTTGTTGTGAAAAAATGTGTAAAATGAATGTATATATAGAAAGAAAGTTAATTAATAAATGAATATAATTTTTTTTAATGCTTTTCAAACGGTCGAAATATGCCCCCCCAACGTTTAAATTTGAGGCAACCAATCAAAACCCCCGTCTTCTTCCGTCCTAGCACTCACGTCACACCCAACCGACCGACCCTGGGGGCGGTGTTCACACGTCTCTTGGGGTGCCACCTGAGATTCTCACGCGTGGAATTCGTTCCATTCCGGTTAGCCTTAGGTAAAATGACAATATGTTTTTTCCCTTACCAAAACAGTGTATTTTAAAAATATATTTACTAAAATGGTGTGGTTTTTAAAAAATTTACAATTTAGGTTAAATTTTATACCAAATCCAAATTAGAAGGTAAAGTTAAAAGGAAATGGAAATTGAATTATCATGGTAATTACCTTTTCGTTTTTTTTACATTTGGGTAACTTTTTTTACACATCTAAGTAACGAACTTGTTAGAAGTGTTCGCATATAATGGTCATATATGAACATTTCCAACAAGTTTGTTATCTAAATGTGTATAAAAAAAAGTTACTCAAATATATATTAAAAAAATAAATAAAAAATTATCCTATAAGTCAACTGCAATTTATATTCTTATTAACGTGATTCTTATTTACCTTAGTAAAGTGAAAACCAACCCAAACGCCTCCGAAACAAAATGAAATTCGTGACACGGGTACGTGGGGTAACAGGTTTCCACATAATCATGGCCGAAGAACCCCTATCCCCCCTTCACGAACTTTGTTGTTGCAGTCGTCAAAGATGAGTTGTAGAACCACTCTCAATGCCTTCACCACAAATTCAACTTCCACTTCCATTGCTGCCGTTTCTCGTTCCTCCGTTCTTTTGTCCAACATCACTCTCAATTCCTTCCCTACAGTAGGAACAAGTAGAGGAGGAGGAGCAGCCTCAATTACAACCTCTCATCTGCTTTATTATTATTCCCTCCGGCGTCTAGATTCCAAAACCCAACTACTCAGACGCCCCAATAAGAAATTACGACGCAATATCGTAGCCTACGCGGCCTTCTTGGAGCTTCCGCTTCTCCCTTTTCCTTCTGATCAGGTATCTCGTTTCTTATGTAACTTCGCTATGATTTAACATATCGTAAACCCCACACTCAAGGTCTCAAATTCATCTCAATTTTGAAGCTTATACTTAATTTGAAATGCGGACATTTTTCTTATGTATTTCAGGTGCTAGTTCCATCTGAGGCAAAGACACTTCACCTATTTGAAGCAAGATACCTGAAGTTGTTGGATGAGGTATTGAATTCGCTTCTTTTATAGTTCTATCCTGCAAAAGTGTTATCCTTCTTTAGTTCTTTACTTCAAATTGTTGATGTGATATGCTTTTACTCTTTGATTTCAGTGTTTGTTCAAAAAGAAGAAACTTTTTGTGCATTTCGTGTTGGATCCCATTGTGGTGAGTTCCTCATCCAAAGAAGCATCCTTCGCTGCTAGATACGGTTGTTTGGTTTCTATAGAGAAGGTAAGCTTCCATTAATCATCACATTTCCTTTAATTCCTTTTCATTTTTTACTATTTTTTTCAGTCAAACTCATTGTCCTCTCAGTGTTATGACTTGTGACAGGTTGAACAATTAGATGTCGGGGCCTTGGTCTCCATTAGAGGAATTGGTCGCGTCACACTTGTGAAATTTGCAAAGGTATGTTAGCAATAATGTGTCGATTCTTCATAAGAATCTTTTAATTGTTTAAAAATTACTTCAATCAAAGGGGTAATTTCTAGTGATTCTGCAGGCGGATCCTTATTTAGAAGGCATTGTATTACCATTGCAGGACAATGTTCCAGAGAGTGAAAGTGAAATAAGTTCCAAAGTTGTAGAATTGAAAGAAGCTCTTCACAGTTTGAATAGTTTGGAAATAAAGTTAAAGGTTCTGTATTAAGTCGCAAGTCAAAAAACAACTGTCATACATTGAGATTATTTACAAAATGGTTAAACTTTTCTGCTTATGCTAATGATTAGGCTGCGAAAGATGAACCATTGCAAACACAAACAGCAAACTCCTTAGAATGGGCTCTTAAAGAACCTTCTATAGATTGTGAAGAAGCTTTCATTCCATCTTTTGCTGAGCGTGTGTCCTTTGCTGCACTTCAAAATGTTTCAGGTATAAAGTCAATTCATGATTTGGATTAATTGAAAGATGCTATAACTGGGTGTATCTTTCAAAGCACAGTGACTGAATATGAAAATTGTTATGAATTATGACAGGATCTACACAATCAGAAATGTTGAAGTTGCAAGAAGAAAAGCTGAAAGCAATGGATGTTAAAGAAACACTACAAAGACTTGAAAATTGTACGGGTTTTGTCAAGAACAGAGTCTCCATGACTGCAGCCAAGCTTGCTATACAGTCCTTGAACATGCAATAAATACAAAACTAGAGGGACCAAACTTGTGCATTTTCTAATTTATTATACAGAATTTGTAAATTGCTCATCACAATGCAACTAATAAAAATGCTTGTTTCTTGACCTTGTAGAAATAGTAGAATTATGTTTTTCATTAATATGCAATATAAATTTGAGAAAACCATTTAAAACTCATCACATTTTTCATTTTTTTTTTTTAACTCTTTCTTGAAACCAAAAAGACTAAACTTATTTAAAAAGTTACAAACACGTCCGCAATTAGTGTTTGTTTGCACACGTGGTATAAAATTGTTTACAAATAATGATTATTTGCGATTTTCCACTAGTTGTTTGAATATGATTATTTGTTATTTTGTTATATAAAAATAAGATATGTTCATGAGGCCTGAGGCCTAGAATTTTCTGAACAGATATTTGTTTTGTATTATTCCTATTTTCTCTCCAAATATCTTCCATCATCTTCCACATTACAGAATCCACATTGAGACCAGAGCAAGAAATGGGGTTAACCTCCGCCATTATTATGGCTTCATCAGCAACAACCTCCAGGTATCTTCTCAATGCTCCGAATCCAAGCTTCTCGCCGCGCCTTTCCTTCTCTGTAAGTCTCCGATTTCTCATTCTTAATCTTCTTATTTGCTCCTGTAAAAGTGGACGGTGGTTTTGGATTGGGAAGAGCATAATTATAAAAATCTCAGATATTTCAATGTTAAGTTGAATGTTGACCGTAAAGCTTCAGTTATTGTCCAGAAAATCTGCAATCTAAGCTTAAATCGTTGCCGGAGATCCTCGCCTAGGAAAAAATCATATCGCCGGGTGTGTTGCAGTCAGGTGCAGATCGAAGAAGGCACCGATGAGGAGGCATGTGAGCTGGTGAATGGAGCTGAGGTTTCTATAGGTGAAGGATCCGATACTGTTCCTGCTTATCTTCTCTCCGCTGTGAAGAACAACAATGGAACTGGTATTTTGCTATTGTCTGACGTCTTTGGGTTTGAAGATTCATGTACCAGAGATTTCGCTTATCGAATCGCCTGCAATGGTTACAAGTATGTTTACTAATTCTACCTTGGAATTAATATTCCAAATCCATTGTTGTTCTTGTAAGGAAAGCTTTGATGCTTATAAGTTATAACGCAGCGTTCTATTACCCGACCTATTCAACGGAGATCCATGGGGAAAAGAACGCCCAAAATCCTCATTTGAAGAATGGCGAGCAACTCATAACCAAATCGCTACAAAAAACATCGCAACTTCGATCAAATGGATGGTAGATGAATTCGTAGCTGCAGGAATCTCAAAGAAGCTTGGGATCGTTGGGTTTTGTTTTGGTGGCGGAAAGGTAATTGAGGTTCTGGCTGAAGATGACGAGGGTTGTTTTGGGCTCGGAGTCTCGTTCTATGGCACAAGAATCGACCCTTCTGTTGCTGCTAAAGTGAAGGTGCCGGTTTTGTATATAACAGGGGATGAGGATCCACTGTGTCCGGTGAAGGTGGTGGAAGAGATCGAGAGGGAGAATGTGGGGGGATCAAAGGTCGTGGTTTTCAAAGGGAGAGGCCATGGATTTGTTCATCGACCAGCGTCAGTTGAAGATGATACAGATGCAGAAGAAGCTTTTACGATGATGAGAAATTGGTTGCATAATGGATTGGTTGTAGAGAAAAACTAATATATCTTTGTACGTAATATAGGTTTTTTCTTCCCAATGGCAATCTCTTTCTTGGTTTTTAACAATTTCTTGAATGAATGGAAGTGTTGTATGGTTTGTAGAGTTATGGACAATTGTATATTGAAATTTGCATATAATCTAAGGTTATTTTCATAAAAGACCCTATATTTTGATTTTTTTTTTCTTTTTAGACCTAAAACTTTTTTCTTTTTCAAAAAAGACATAACTTTTTACCTGATACTTGTTGTTTTAGACCTAACAGGTCACCAAAAGGAAATTAAGTATTTTTATTTCATAAAAGACCCTACATTTAGTACTTTTTTCCAATTTAGACCTAAAATGTTTTTTATTTCAAGATTAGTTGTATAAAAACGTGATTATATCTTTTTAGTTTATACATAGACATCGATTTAAACAATGTAATTATTATGCCTACATTTATTTATGATTGGACAATTCTTTGTCCACGTATATTTATACAACACAAAGTAGTTGTAAAAGCTATTTCTTCACTACACCAAGTTCATGTAGCTTAATTTCGTTAAGGCATAAAAAAATACTTATATTCTTTTAGTTTAAATAATAGACAACGATTTAACTTTTGCATCTTTTGGCGTCGTATTGATTTACGCATAAAACATTTTTTTTAAACCATTACACATACAATGAAGTTGTATAGTATATTTTTTTTTCACGGGTGTAATATAAATAATAACAAAATGTTGTGTCTACATTTGGGAAAATTTACAGTTTCTAGTTCCAAAACCTTTTTTTTTATATTATTGGTTTAATTAGTTTTTCGATTTCAGTTACATAAAACAATTACCAAAAGCTAGGAGTTGAATACATAGACATGTGAAGTCAAATTTCCTAACAGCACAAAAGAGATTTTATATAATTTTAAGATCATAAATGCAATAACCAATTGAGTACCAAACACCTTCAAGCTTTTTTAAATTAAAATGAAATCCTAAATTTTATTTTGGTAATAAATGTGATTATACTTGAGAATTAATAATCGCGATATACAAACACCATGTGTTTGGATATTTAAGTGTGCGGTATCATTTTTGTTATTTGGATTTTTAACTTATGTTCAAATGGTTTCAATCCCATAATATAGTTTTATGTATTTATATGTGATGTTAAATTTTTTAAGAATGTCTTAAACTTGAATCTGATATATCTAAAAAAAACTATTACGAATGTTTAGGATTAATATTTTTATATATGTATTTGATATAATTATAACATATTATTCAATAATGGGCTAATGCTACCAAATATTCTATGACTTTGGTTTATGAGTATGATAGTGAGTGCATTTATTAATTGTTCTAAAAAAATTGATTAAAAAATTCAACCAAAAAAATAATATAGAAAAGTGAGAGGAAAATATGTCCAAACTCACGAAATAGGTATAATAGACAAACTAAAAAAATTTATTTTGTATACAGTTTGTTAAATTACATGGTATGTTTTTTTTCTACAAATAAAAAAATTTGTTATTATGCTAAAAGATTCTTCCTAGCCATGTATTATCAATGTTACCAAAAAATATTAAATTAACATCAAACTTTTTATTAGCTGTAATAATAACATTTTTTATAAACAATATATCAAGTTTAATGATATAATATATATCCAAGATAAAGTTT